TTTCTGAGAGTTTCATTTTTTTCAGCTCACTGCAACCTCTGCCCCCTGGGTTCAAGTGGGCTGTACCTCATGTTGTGTGCATGTGTGTCTCTGTGCTGCTTCTCCTGCCACAGCAGGAGTAGCTGGGATTACAGGCGCATGCCACCACTGCCCAGCTAAATTTTGTATTTTTAGTAGAGATGGGGTTTCCCCATGTTCAGGCTGGTCTCAAACTCCTGACTTCAGATGATCCCAAAGTGCCAGGGTTACAGACGTGAGCCACCGCACCCAGGCAGATCTGTCCTTAATATCCCTGCTGAAACTTCCCTTGGCTCCCCAGCCTCTAGTGTCAAGGGCAAGCTCCCAGGAGGTCCACTGGGCCTCCCTGGTGGGTCCTTGCCAGCCCCCACCATCTCCTCTTCCACTGTAACCCCTGCCCGACACATACATAAAATGACCCCTCTAGCCACTCAGGTGCTCCCCAGCCCCTGACACACCCTTCACTTCTATGCCTGTGCTGGTACTTCTTCCTGGAAGAGCGCAGTGGTAGAAGAGCATGGGTGTTACAAGCAATGTTTAGGGACAAACACTTCCTAGCTATGTAGCCTTGGGCAACTCACCTGACCTCCTCGAGTACCACGCTCCTCGCCTGAAAAATGGGGCTAAGGAGTCCTACTTCACTGATTTAAGAGAAATCGGACAGGCACAGTGGAGATGTCTATAATCCCAGCACTTTGGGAGGTAGAGACGGGAGGATTGCTTGAGCCCAGGAATTCAAGATCAGCCTGGGCAACACAGTGAGACTCCATTTCTACAAAATATAAAAAATTAGCCTGGCATGGTGTTATGTGCCTGTAGTCCCAGCTATTCAGGAGCTGAGGTGAGAGGATTGTTTGAACCCAGGAGGTTAGGCTGCAGTGAGCTGTGATCATGCCACTGCACTCCAGCCTGGGCAACAGAGTGAGACCCTGTCTCAAAAAAAAAAATAATAAAAAGTATAATAATTGTTATCCTTCTCTACATGGAGAATTCCAATTTGTCTTTTAAGAAGCAATTCAAGGCTGGGCATGGTGGCTCATGCCTGTAATCCTAACATTTTGGGAGGCTTAGGCAGGTGGATGACTTGAGTCTAGGAGTTAGAGACCAGCCTGGGCAACATAGAAAAGCCCCATCTCTACAAAAAAATACAAAAATTAGCCGGGCATGGTGGCATGGGCCTGTAGTTCCAGCTACTCGGGAGGCTGAGGTGGGAGGATCACTTGAGCCTGGGAGATGAAGGTTGCAGTGAGCTGAGACTGTGCCACAGCACTCCAGCCTGGGCATAGAGGGAGACCCCATTTCAAAATAAGTAAATAAATAAACAAAGGCTATTCAAATGTTACCTCCTCTGGGAGGCCCTCCTGGATTCTCACAGGCTCTTCTGTCACATCATCTAGCTCACTATAGTGTATTTGTCTCTTCTAGACTTGGTCTCCCCAGCAGCCTGAGCTCCTCCATAGCACACATCAAATCTGACTTGCTATTGGGTCCCTGGCCCCTGGTCCCAAGCCTGGTACCATGTGGGTGGTGGGAATGTTGCTTGGATGAGTCATGATAGCCACACCCTCCCCCTTCCTCCAGCAAGCTCCGGGCCTCACTGGCAGACCCCAGGCAGCTGAAGATCCTGACAGGGGACTGGTTCCAGGAAGCACGCTCCCAGCGGCATCACAATGCCCACTTCGGCTCTGACCTTGTTCGAGCCTCAATGCGCAGGAAGAAGAGCTCCAGGGGTGAGAGGAGATCCTCCCGCCAGGGCAAGCCATGTGCCATCCAGGGCACTGGCTGTATATGGACAGGGAGAGAGGGCCCAGGGCTCCAGTCCTGGCTGCCCCCAGTACTGTGTGTCTTTGAGTGGTCAATGCCCCTCCGTGGGCATGGGGTGGGTGGGCATCTCCAGGGCCTCTCCTGAGTCACAGCCAGGCTTCCTGAACATGGGGGTTCACAGAACTTCTCACCTGCCCCCAGGAGACCAGGCTCCAGGCAGCGACGGGGAGGCCGAGGCTGCTGTGAAAGAGAAGGAAGATGTGCCAGAGCCCAGGTGAGGAGAGGTCTCAGGGAGGGGGGACCATGCCCAGCAGTCACCAGGGTCCCTCCCTCTGAGAGTGTCCTCTCCCTACTCCTAGGCTCTCCATTGATGAGGCCCCCCAGGAGAGGCTCAGGGAGACTGAGGTAAGAGCGAATGAGCCAATGTGTGAGTCCAGTGTCCCTGGAGAGGAGGTGGAATGTGCAGGGGGCAAGGGAGAAAGGTCCCAGCCTGGGAATGGGGAGACCCTGGACATGTCCTTTCCTGTGTCTGCGCCTCAGCATCTCCTGGGTCGAACAGTGGTATGAACCTCTGAGGGAACTTCTGAATCTGGCTATTAGGGGTGAAGTGGGGCCGGACGCGGTGGCTCTCACCTGTAATCCCAGCACTTTGGGAGGTTGAGGCAGGAGGATCGCTTAAGCCCAGAAGTTCAAGACCAGCCTGGACAACATAGCAAAATGCCCCCCATCTCTATAAAAAATTAACAAAAGGATGGGCGCAGTGACTCACACTTGTAATCCCAGCACTTTGGGAGGCCAAGGCAGGCAGATAACCTGAGGTCGGGAGTTGGAGACCAGCCTGACCAACGTGGAGAAACCCCATCTCTACTAAAAATACAAAATTAGCCAGGCGTGGTGGCACAAGAGGCGGAGGCAGGAGAATCGCTTGAACCCAGGAGGTGGAGGTTGCAGTGAGCTGAGATGGCACCATTGCGATCTGGGCAACAAGATCGAAACTCCATCTCAAAAAAAAAAAAAAAAAAGTTGTTTACCAATGGGTCAGTATTAAAGAAAATAAAAAAAGGAGTGAGGAGGGACTGGGCTGGCAGAGGTGGAGGACTCGGGTATGAATGCCTCCACCAATGGGAGCAGTGAGTCAAGCAGCACAAGCCCTGCGGGGTGGGCTGTGAAGCACAGGTCCCATGGCTTCTGCAGCTGGCTGCCAGCCCTGCCCTAGTACTGCTCTAAACCTGAAACTGGGGTAGTTTCAGGAGCCTGTGACCTCTGACCCCAACTTGACCTTTGACCCCTTCCTTACCAGCCCCTCCACTATGAACTCTATCCCTTCATTCCTTCAGGGACCTGATTTCCCATTGCCTTATGTCCCTCTTAAGGCTTCAGATCCTGAGGAGGCGTCCCAGGCCCAGGAAGGTGAGTGGGAGCACCTGTTGGGGAGCACGGAGATGTTTCGGGGGTCAGAGGCAGCTCTAAGGGGCCCCAAGCACCTCTGTTGACCCTCCTCCCGCCACTCCCACCCCACATCGGAGACGGGGACGATCCCAGGACAGCACCGGGGCCTTAATCTGCAGCTCGCTGGGGTTGTAAACCTGTTCCTCCAAATTTGCTTAGGGGCGGGCAGGAGAGGGTTCACTCAGCATCTCGTGCCCCACCCCAGGCCCTGGCCAAGGGGACCTGCAGAGCTGTGTCGAGAAGGCGGACCCGGAGCCGGAGCCCGCGTCGGGGGGAGAGCCGGAGCCCGGGCCCCTGCAAGCCCAGGTAGGCGGGAGTGGCCCGCGGCTGCTCTCAAGACCCGGAGCGGATTCCGGGCGGGGAGCGCTCCAGCCCAGGCCTGCGAGCAGCCCGCGACCCAGGGCTCTCGGGGCAGGGGCGGGGAAAGAAGGGGCTCCCCGTCATTTGCCCCCTCTGCAGGCCAGGGCCGCATCCCAGATCCTGGAGAACGGGGAGGAGGCCCCGGGGTCCGACCCCTCACTCAACTGCATGCTCAGCAGCAGCTCCTCCGTGTCCAGCCTTAACTCCTCCAAGGTGAGGCAGGAGGGAGGGGGCCCGGGCGGCGGGGGAGGTGGACACGCCTCGACGCGTAGCCCCTGCCAGCTCCTCCCTCGCCGTGGGACCCAACGCTGCAGACCCCCGGCATGCCACCCATGACCCGGGTCTGAACCCTCCGCGCTTCCCCCACGGGCCCCGACGTGAGCCCTGCGAGTGGCCCTGATTCCCACCCACTCCCGCCCGCAGCTGAGCGGCAGCCAGATGAGCCTGTCCGGCGAGGCGGAGGCGGTGCAGGTGCGCGGCTCAGTGCACTTCGCGCTGCACTACGAGCCGGGCACTGCCGAGCTGCGCGTGCACGTGATCCAGTGCCAGGGCCTGGCTGCCGCCCGGCGCCGCCGCTCCGACCCGTGAGTGCCCGGCCCGCCAAGCGAGGCGCGGCTGTCTCTTCCAAGCGCACCATTCACAGGGTCTCGGCCTCCTCGTCCTAATCTTCAAAATGGGAACAGCAGCGTTATTGGGAGGCGTGGGATTGAGCGAGACAAGCCCTGTAAAGCGCTTAGCACGAGGCCTCTCACGTGTTCGGGTTGGTGGCTGGGAGAGCGCACAAGGCAAGGGAGGAGGCTCTGGGAGGGCCCCTCCTCACCGCCGGTTCTCACCTCCCCAGCTACGTCAAAAGCTACCTCCTCCCAGATAAGCAGAGCAAGCGCAAGACGGCGGTGAAGAAACGGAATCTAAATCCAGTTTTCAACGAGACGCTCCGGGTGAGGCTGTGACCACGGTGCAGCTCCCTGTTCATGAACAGGACGCCCCTTCCTGCGGAGCGAGGTGGCAGGGGCAGCCAGTACCGTTACTGCCCGGAGGATGGGCAGGGCAGGCCCCGTTAAGGCGTTGTCCAGGGTGCCAGCCTTGTGGTGGGCGTGGTGATAGTCCAGACCCCCACTAATGCCCTTCGGGGCTCCCCAGGATTCCATTGTGCTAGGAACGCGGTAGAACCCGCCCCAGCCAACTAGCGCAGCATCCACGCGGGCCACCAGCAGTGCTCCGCTAAAGCGCGCCTCCTGTCCCCAGTACTCCATCCCGAAGGCCGAGCTCCAGGGTCGCGTGCTGAGCCTGTCCGTGTGGCATCACGAAAGCCTGGGTCGCAACATCTTTCTGGGCGAAGTTGAAGTGCCTCTAGACACGTGGGACTGGGGCTCTGAGCCCACTTGGCTCCCCCTGCACCCCCGGGTGAGGAGCGAGGACGCGCGGGGAGACCTGCGGCCCGGGTCTCCTGCATGTACCCCACCAGGCTCTCCCGCAGCTCCCTCAGACCCCATCTTCGACAGAGCCTCCCCTCAATCTCTTAACTTCAGGGCCCCTTCCCTGAGGGTGCTGGGATCCCCAGGTTCCGCCCCTACAGGCCCCACTGTCTCTGCTAACCGCCTCCCATCGAGGTCTGCAGACCCCACCCTCCTGAGGCCCCTTTCCATTGGACCCTGCTCCACGACAAGCTCGCCTCTCGCAGGTCCCACCCTATCCCGACGATCTTCCCAGGCGAGGGCTGCTCTCCCTGTCCCTCAAGTATGTCCCAGCCGGCTCCGAGGGTGAGTGGCAGCCGGAGAGGGCAAGCTGGACCCGCCCTGAAAAACGGGAGACTTCTGTCAACGGGTAGTGGGGGGTGGACTCCATCCGTGCGCGGGACTCAGCCGAGCGTCTCGGCAGGCGCAGGACTGCCCCCGAGCGGGGAGCTGCACTTCTGGGTGAAGGAGGCTCGGGACCTTATGCCGATGCGGGCAGGCTCCCTGGACACTTACATACAATGGTGAGGAGTGCTGGCCCTCCGGGCTTCCCTTTCTTTTGCCTGCAGTGGAGTGCCAAACCTTGACAAACCCCTACTAATCAACCCTTGATAAGGCAGCCCGAGATTTCACCACTGAGCAGGGGGGAAGGGGACGGTTTGAGCAAAGGCCTGGAGTCAGGAAAGTTGAGGACACCTTTGAGGAGCTGCGTTTCAGCAGGACTGGCACCTATAGGTCTTGTTGAAGAGCTGAGGCTGAGGGCTTCAGGGGTCCCTCCATAGAGAACCTGGGAGGCCAGGCTGTGGGGCCTGGCCCCAAACTTATAGTTCAGTGGTTTTCTAAGCTTCCAGGGGACCTCTAGGGGTCCCTCCAGGTGCTGCCCCCCCCTTAGAGAGTGAAATGGGGGTGGCTGATCACTTCTGGGTGTCCACCCTGATGCAGCCAGAGACGTTCTTTCTTTCAGGTACTATACTTCTGAGCAACACTGTATTTTGTAGAGGGGGTTCCGAGGCTTTGAAAACCTTGGAAACAGGCCTGACTTGGTGGCTCATGTCTGTAATCCCAGCACTTTGGGAGGCTGAGGTGGGCGGATCACCTGAGGCCAGGAGTTCAAGACCAGCCTGACCAACATGGGGAAACCCCGTCTCTACTAAAAATACAAAAAATTAGCCTGGCATGATGGCAGGCGCCTGTAATCCCAGCTACTTGGGAGACAGGTGGGAGAATCACTCAAACCCAGAAGGTTGCAGTGAGGCAAGATCGCCCCACTGCACTGTAGCCTGGGTGAGGAAGAGCTAGACTCCGTCTCAGAAAAACAAAACAAAACCTTGGAAACTGTTTGAGGAGGGGAGGTGGTGGAACAACAGGAAGACAGTGAAAGTCACTGAGTCAGCAAGTAGCAGAACTGCATTTCAGAAACATTGCTCTGCAGCCCTGTGAATAAGGCTGCAACTTTTTTCTTTTTTTGAGATGCAGTCTGGCTCTGTTACCTAGGCTGGAGTGCAATGGCATGATCTCAGCTCACGGCAGCTTCAGCCTCCTGGGCTCAAGCAATTCTTGAGTAGCTGGGATTACATGCCATCATGCCCAGCTGATTTTGGTTTTCTTTTGTTTTGTTTTGAGACCGAGTTTTGCTCTTGTTGCCCAGGCTGGAGTGCAATGGTGGTGTCTTGGCTCACTGAAACCTCTGTCTCCTGGGTGTAAGCTATTCTCCTGTCTCAGCCTCCTGAGTAGCTGGGATTACAGGCATGTGCCAACACACCTGGCTAATTTTGTATTTTTAGTAGAGACAGGTTTTCTCCATGTCGGTCAGGCTGGTCTTGAACTCCCGACCTCAGGTGATCCGCCCACCTTGGCCTCCCAAAGTGCTGGGGTTACAGGTGTTAGCCACCGCGCCCAGCCTAATTTTTGTATTTTTAGTAGAGATGGGGTTTTGCTATGTTGGCCAGGCTGGTCGCTTGAATCCAGAACTTCTGACCTCAGGTAATCCACCGGCCTCAGCTTCCCAAAGTGCTGGGATTACAGGCGTGAGCCACCATGCCTGGCCAGGAGCTTTTAAAGGCAGGAGACCTGAGAGGCGGTTAGTGCAAAGGTCCCAGGGCAGTGAGGGTCTGAGGCCAGGTAGGCAGGAGCCAGGGTGCATGGACACATGTGAGGGAGAATGAGTAGTGTATGGTGACTGGGTGACTCTAGCGAGTGTAAGGGGTGGTCACCTGATGCCAGGCCACCTCCCGCACAGCTTCGTGCTGCCTGATGACAGCCGGGCCAGCCGCCAGCGTACAAGGGTTGTGCGACGCAGCCTCAGCCCTGTGTTCAACCACACCATGGTGTATGATGGCTTTGGGCCTGCTGACCTGCGCCAGGCTTGTGCCGAGCTCTCCCTCTGGGACCATGGGGCCCTGGCCAGCCGCCAGCTGGGGGGCACACGTCTCAGCCTGGGCACTGGTAAGTGGGGCAGGGCCCTGAGGCAGGCCCTGAGAGATGGGGGCTCAGTGTGTGGCCTTGGGTACCTCTCTGTCCCTTCCTGAGCTTTGGTATCTACTGAGAACTGAGGAAGTTAACTGGGGACAGTGCATAATCTGGGACCAGGTAGGTGTCTGGGGGCCCCAAGGTGTCCAATGTGATCATGCCCTCAACCCCTGCCCACCCACATCCAGGCAGCAGCTATGGGCTGCAGGTGCCCTGGATGGATTCCACACCAGAGGAGAAGCGGCTGTGGCAGGCCCTCCTGGAGCAGCCGTGCAAGTGGGTGGATGGCCTTCTACCGCTCAGAACCAACCTGGCCCCCAGGACGTAGCCTGACCAAACCTCTCTCTCTGGACCCCCATCTCAGGGCCTGTCCTCGGCTAAAGTCAATAAAGTCTGTTCTAAGGGCAATAAAGGGCTCATGTCTGCTGGGGCAGGGAGGAAGAAAGGTGACTGCAGGAAAGCGCCAGGGAAGTAAGAGGGGCCAGGTTAAGGAACTTCAGACTGCCACAAAGACTTCAGAGGAGCCAGGCACAGTGGCTTATGCCTGTAATCCCAATGCTTTGGGAGGCTGAGGCAGAAGGATTGCTTGAGCCCAGGAGTTCAAGACCAGCCTGAGCAACATAGAGAGACCCCCCATCTCTACAAAAAATTTAAAAATTAGCTGCAGGCGGTAGTGTCACATGCCTGTAGTCCCAGCTACTTGGGAGGCTGAGGCAGGCAGATTGCTTGCGCTCAGGAGTTAGAGGCTGCAGTGAGCTATGCCACAAAGCAAGAAGCTGTTTCTAAAACAAAAATGTTTACATACCAGCTAGGTGTGGTGGCGCACGCCTGCAGTCCCAGCTATTCAGGAGGCTGAGGAGGAAGGATCAACTTGAATCCAGAAGTTCGAGGCTGCATGAATATAATCATGCCACTGCACTACCAGCCTGGATGACTTCTGCCTCCTGAGTAGCCGGGACTACAGGCATGTAACACCACCACCTGCAGCTAATTTTCAAGCAATTCTCCAGCCTCAGCCTCCTGAGTAGCTGGGATTTATAGGTGTGCACCACAAACGGCCAGCTAATTTTTGTGTTTTTAGTAGAGACAGGGTTTCACCATGTTGCTCAGGCTGGTCTCGAACTCCTGACCTTGTGATCTGCCTGCCCCAGCCTCCCAAAGTGCTAGGATTACAGGCGGGAGCCACTGCCCCCAGCCTAAAAAACTTTTTAAAAAAAAGTCCTCAGGGGGCTGTTCCCAGGATACCCCTCCCCAAATACACCTCTGAAATTGCCAGCAGAAATGTGCAAAAGTGTTCTGTTTAATACACTTTGGTGGTGCTTGGGTGCCGGTGGTTGGCTCCTCTCATTGGGACCAATCCTGGCCCCTACTCGCCTGGCTTCCTCCAGTCGCCCCAGGTGTCCTGGGGCTGGTGTGTCAGAAGCTGCCTTTGTCCTCTCCATTCATCCATCCTTGGGTCTGTCTGGCCTCTGATGCCCTCATTCAGCCTCCCGGGGTCCGGGGGTGACTGACGTGGATCCTGTTCGCTGTGCCAAGATGGCCCTCCAGATGCGGCATACCATCCCTCCCCTGGGGGTAGCAGACTCAATGTGGCACAGCCAGAAGGTGGCCCTGGACACTCTCTCTGGCACCCACTATTTGCCCAGTGCCTCCTCTGTCCCTAGGGGACCCAGGTGCCCCTTTGGTTTCCAGGAAGGAACCCAGGCAGGCCTGCAGCTGGCCAGCATGAGGCCACATACATGATTCACCCTTGAGGGGCCCAGGATGTACCTGATTCGGGTGTAGACGAGGTCATCTCGAGTGGCATAGGTGAGCAGGGCGTGGAGAGTGAAGCTATGATTCAACAGCTGGATGTGGACAAAGACCCGCAGAGACAGGGAAAGAAGAAATTACAAAAAGATGTGTCCAGAGACCCAGGTACTAGCTCTGCTCTGCTGCTAAAATACTGAGGCAGATCACATGCTTCTGGGCCTCAGTTTTCTCATCCATACAATGGGAAGAGTATACTAAGTGTTCTTCCGGTATTGAGATTCTCTGTATCAGAGGGCACAGTGAGAAGAGCAGGAAGATGGACAGAGATGGAGGCTTTGGCCAGTGAGGTCATGGACAGCCAAGCACTCCCTGCCTCACCGTTTGGATGGTGCCTGAATCCACGTTCAGTTCCTGTAGCCACTGCACCAGGCCCTGGTCCATTGAAAGAGCAGCTGTCAAGAAGCAGTCAGGTGATGAGGCCCAGGGTGCCTCCTGCTAGAAGCTGCCTCACATTCACAATAGTGTACTCCAGCCACGCCCAATCACCTGGGGGCTCTGAGGCCAGGGCACAGGTCCCCACTTCCTCATTCACCCTCTGCAGAGCCCGCTGCACCAGGGCCTGGTACTCCCATTCCTTCCTCGCCAGGACTTCCCGCAGCCTGTCGGGGGCAGAAGAGTAGAGTGGAGTGGGGACTGGGGAGTGGATTGAAGCTCGGCAGAGGCTATGAGCGATTCCAAGGGGCTTTACCGATCAGTCTCTGCTCGCAGGAGGCTCAGCTGCACCATCAGAGGAGGGGGGCCCTGCTCGGGCTCCTCTGGAAGCGGCCTCTGCTGGGAGTCCTCTTCTTTACTCAGCTCCTCTGACCTCGGTGAGACCACCTCCTTCTCCACCTCTGCAGCCCAGTGCAGTGAACTTAGGCAAGGCTATAAAGCCCGTTTGGGACCCCCAGATCCCAGCAAGGGAGTGCGGGGGTTGGGTGCCCGGCTCTGGGCAGGGCCCAGGCGGTGCTGGTATGGGAGATGTCCATTTAGTCACGCCCCCACCGGCGCCTGCCCGCCCCCGTCCCGCCTGGCCCCCACCGGCCCCATTAGGCGTTCACCGCGCCCAGCAAGCACCACACCCTCACTGGCAAGAGGCCCGCAACACTCCCCTCCTACCCTGGCCTAGCACAGCCAGGGCTGCCCGCACAGCACGGCTGAGCAGCGAGTCCAGCACGAACATCCAGTGTGGGCGGATCTGGCGCCTGCGGAGGATCTGCTTCACCTGCAGAGGGAGGGAGGGCGCCGCTGAGACAGCTGAGCCTCAACTAGAGGCAGGGCTTGAGTTGGAAAGGCCTGGAAAGTCTTCTGCGGAAGGCAGGTGGGGAGAGTGGGCTTGAGGTCTAGGGATGGGCGGGGAAGCTAGGACTGGGCAGACGTTTTTATGCTGAAGGCCTGATCTTCACGGAGGAGACAGAGAATCTTGGAACATCACGCCCTGGCACCTTCCCAGGCACGGGGAGCTCACTATCTGTTTCTGGGCAGCCCTAACTACCAGAGGGCGCCCTCACCGCAGCCGGGAAGGCGAAGAGCGGGGCGTGCAGAAGTGTGGGCCCAAGGCCCTGGGCCCGCAGCCGTCCTTGCAGAGCCCGCAGCTCCTGGGCCAGCTGCCGGCGGTTGGGAGTGTGAATGTGTGCCCCGAGGCAGCGCAGCAGCTGTTCCACATGATTTCTGCGCAGACAGGACCCCTGAGAAGGAAGAGAGGGGTTGTCAGCGCCTGTTCGAGCCAAAAGAGATGCTGCCGCGGAGGTGGAATGGCAGGGGGTGCGGGGAAGACCTCAACAGGTGTCCTGACCCTGTGCGACCACCAGGGGGCGCTAGGGCGGGCCGCCCACCTCCTGCTCCTGGTGCAGATTCTCCGCCAGCGCGGACAGCTCCTGCTCCAGCACCGCAGCCAGCATGGCCCGACGCTTGCTCTCCTGGTGCAGCAGGCTCAGCCCTGAACTCTCCTCCGGAGAGGCAGGCTCCTCGGCCGCAGGCTCCTCGGGCACCCTGGGCACAAGGGCCAGTGGCTGATTGAAGACAGGCAGCAACCGGCCAGCCACCTCTGCTGCCGGGTTTGAATCCTGGCTCTCCTTTTATGCCTTTCTCTCAGGGATGAACTAGATAAACCCCGCACTGAGAGGACACAAGTCCAAGTTAGAGTTTCCAGGACAGGGCATGGGGAGGCACCAAATGCCACATTCACAGGTGGTCAAGGTGCCCAGGCCCCCAAGGAGGGCTTTTGTAGGATGGGATAAAAAGGCAAAACCAGGCAAAGGGAACCCATCCCAGGAGCCTAGGTCTCACCGGAGCTGGCTGGTGCCCCCATAACTGAGGCAGCGCTTCGGGGGGTTGGGTGGGTGCGAGGGTGCCTGAGGGCACGGGAGTGTCTGAGACTGGGTGGTTGAGTCGGCTGAAGGAGTGGGACTGGCGGAAGGGGCATCTGAGGGAAGGACAGAGCTGTCAGCTGGGCCCTCCTTCGCCCTCACAGCTCCGAAGCTCCTCCACCACCAGCATGCCCATCCTGCCACCCCCAAGCACCTGAGGGCTGTGGAGCATGTCGGGGGGAGCTGGGGCTGCGGCTTCTCTTCCCAGGCTGCAGGAAGGGGTCCCCCAGCAGCGCCTGGGCGCTGGCTCGGAGGCGGGGGTCTGGCTCAAAAGTTCGGAGGAGGAAGGCTTGGGCCTCGGCTGACAGAGAACTGGGCATTGGTGGATGCACCTTGTACATACCCACCTGCAGGGGGAGGGCAAATGAGGGTGACATTCAGAGGTGTCCAAGGCCCAGGCTGGTCCTATGCCACCTCCACGGGCCAGGCCCAGAGGGGTCTCACCTGAAACATGGCAGCCTGTGGGCTCCCTAGCTCGTGGAAGGGGGGGTGACCTGTGGCCATCTCGATGACAGTGCAGCCCAATGACCAGATGTCAGCTGCTTTCCCATACCCACGTGGGCCCTGGTCAATGATTTCTGGGGCCATATACTGCAGAGTTCCTAGGACAGGAGCAGGAGCAACAATACCCGTCTAGGCTTTATCGTAGGGTGGGAGCGGGGAGGGGAATGCCATTATCCTCAGGCTGACTGCACCCGTACTGAACCTACCATCCCAAACGTACCTCAACACCTATCCTCCTGGTCATCAAACATCTATCCTGAGTTCCATCACCACCCTAGGCTTCACCACCTGCCAAGGCTTCCATCATTCATCCTAGGCTCTACCACAGTCACAGACTCCACCGCCCAGAGTAGTGTTGCCTCACACATCCTGGACTGCATCTTCCTCCAACTCCCACCTTGACCTACATCAACACTTCTCAAGTGCTAAAGTCAATTTCATCAGTTACCCAAGCTCCAATTCTAAATGCCATCACCTCACCCCTGGCCCAATCACTCACCCGGGATTTCATTCCCCATTAGGACTCTAATTCCATGCCTAGGAGAAACCCCATTCCCTGGAAAGCTCCAAGAGATCTTTTGCCCCAGATCAGCATCCCCACTCACCACCCCACACCTCAATACCTGTGAAGGTCTCAGTGCAAGGCGTGATGCCGGCCAGCCGCTTGGAGGTGCCAAAGTCAGAAATCTTGAGCAGCCCACTGAAGGTGTTGATCAGCACGTTGTCTCCCTGATTGATAGTCAT